CTCGGTGTTGGGCCCGCACCTCGCTCAGCCAGTGAGCGGGAACCGGTCTGTATGTGGGATCAGAACCCTTGGTGGGAGCGCTGCCACGCTCCCAGCTGAGCGGGAACCGGTCTGTATGTGGGATCCGAACCCTTGGCGGGAGCGCTGCCACGCTCCCAGTGGGATCAGAACCCTTGGTGGGAGCGCTGCCACGCTCCCAGCGGTGCACTGTAGCAGTGCGCCACCGGGCCGACCCAAGTAAATTTATTATGTATAGAATAAAAATATATCACTCTATGTTTAGAATATCAGTAAGAACAATTTTTATTAGTTTCATTTATTGGTTTATTATACATAATTTTTCAAACAAAATTGGTATACTTAATAAGGTTTTCAAATTATATCCTTGTATATATTTCATGATTAAAAAAATAATTATTACATGGAGTAATGTAAGATTGATTGATTGATTCATTCATTCCACCACTATTCTTAGGCTCCTGTATGGCAGGCCTGGAGAGTGGGCTGGGTTTAAAGTGGTGAATGAAACACAGTCTCTGGCCTCCTGGAATCTACAATCTTCTTTATAAAGAAGCATACGTGAGCTATCATGACACAGAGGCCAACAGTGGCGTAGGCCTGAATGCTGCCTCATATGACCTTTCTCTACTCCTGGTACATATGATGTGTATTGATGCTTTCTGGGTTTATGAGACTAAGGGAATTGTTCTAGTTTGAAACACAAGGGGAACTTTGTGAAATATTTGTGGGATTATTTAAGATTTTGCAAATGAATGAAAGGAAAAGTCTGGAGGGTGGTCACTGAGTTAGAATAGACTATAAATCAGAGTAAAACATATTTTGAAGCATTCGGCTCATTTCCTTTTCACACTGCAGTTTTATTTATATTTTAAAGTTAGAAAATATGATGGGAGAAGAATAACTGTGCTTTAAAGATTTACATAAGGAAATATGTTGCCAAAATCTGTTTATTCTCACTTCAACTCTAGTATGATTTCTTTCCTGTGCTCTGTTAACCCTTAAAAATGCAGGAGACACTTAGAAGAAGGTTTGTACTGATTTTTGAGGCTCCATCATGGCCTACTGATTACTGTGCAATTGTATTATCCTGCTGCTGTCTCTGTGTCTTCAACTGGTGATTAAGTCAATAAAAACTAAAAAAATTGTGTCACCTGGCATAAATTTGTTTAAAATTTAAAGTAAGTTTCTTCCCATAAAGGTCACACATATATAATAAATTAAATAGGGATTTCCTACTAAGTAATTTATTTGAAATCACATTAGTTTTTTTAGCTATGGAACTAAGTCCTCATGTTCTGAATCTTTTTACTTCTTAGGCTAGAAGAACTGCAGAGCTTTCTCTTGTATAAAAACAAGCTGACCTACCTTCCTTACGCCTTGCTTAACCTAAAGAAGCTCACCTTGTTAGTCGTCAGTGGGGACCATTTGGTGGAGCTCCCAACTGCCCTCTGTGACTCATCCACACCTTTAAAGTGAGTAGACCAGAGGTCCTAGTAGAGACACGTTCAGACACAGGTAAGGAGTGAGAAGCAGCCGGAGCCCATGTACCTGTCTCAGGAACCGGATTAGATGGTTCTTGTGCTCTGAGAATCTGCTCCCAGATTGCAGAAATTCTGATGACTTTTTACAGGATTTTGAAGTGGTTGGCCAATGGCACGAGGAGGTGGAGCTCAGAGGACTTCTGGACAAATACTACTTGCTGGTTGAAGGCACAGCAGGCCATATGCCCAGGCCCCTGAGCTGCCGTTCAGTTCTCACTCTGCTGCTGGCCTGCAGGGGTCAGCAGCTGTTGAATGAATCCTTGGTTGCCTCACTCTTCTTTCAGTTGCCTTAAAGGAACCCACAAAACACCTAGAACTAAGAAAAATCATCCATGCAAATGTGATACAAACAGACTCCAATCTGGGTGAGAAACTGAATAGTCTTTCTTACCTTGGAAGTAGAATTGATAAGCCCCAGTTGCACCCTCCACTAAAATGACTCTGAGGCAGCTCATGGTTCCCTGGTAGCACGTCACCTCTACCCTGAGGTCATTTTGGCCCATCCCCAGCAGCTTGGAGCCTCCCTGGAACCTTCACACGAGGCTGCTCTAGTAAGAGCCACCTTCTCTCTGTTGTCCAGAGATCCATCTGCCTTGAACACCAGTTGCTTATTAAAACCACTGTTGGAGGGAATATTTTCCTGGAACTTCAAGTTCTCTGAGTGGTAAATGCTCTCTATAAGCACAGAGTACAATCATTATCTTCCTGCACTTGCAATAAGATGTGTGGCAAATAAAGAAAGAGGTTAACTATTGGAAAGAGAGAGACCAAGTTCATGCCTCTGTAAGCACAAGATTAACAGTGGTGTAAGACATCTACCCCCTACCCCACCCCACTTCTTTCATCGGAATGGGTTTTCATTGTCCCTGGCTGTTAGGAATGTTGTTTGGATAAGAACCCACTGGTGAGAGGGAGAGCAGGACCCCTCCCTAGAGCCCCTTCCAGATTCAGGCAACTCGGAGCAATCAGAGCAAAACTGTCGCCTCACTAAAGTAATTTCAAATGATGTAATTGTAGGACTTAGAAATCTAAGAGAATCAGATAAAAGCTCTTTGAATTAATGAAAGTACAGTAAAAAGACTAGATATAAATTTGCATAAAAAATTTAACAGCTTACTGATTTCTTAGAAATAACCTATAGAAAAAATAATAAATGATGGCATTAATGGTAATAATTAAAAATACGAAATATCTAGGAAAAACCCTACAGAAAAGTAGTTCTGTTATATGAAGGGACTAAAAAGTCTTCCCAGGGGCCGGCCCGGTGGCGCACTGCTACAGTGCGCCGCTTGGGAGCGTGGTGACGCTCCCG